AAAGACAAACATGGCATGTACTCACTCATATATGAATTTTAGTCATAGGACAAAGGATCACCAGCCTACAATTCACACTGCCAGAGAAGCTAGGAAACAAGGAGGACCCTAAGTGAGACATTCATGGTCCCTCACAGAAAGGGAAAGGAACAAGATCTCCTGAGCAAATTGGGAGCAGGCAGGTGGGGAGAAGGAGTTAGGAGAAAGAGAGGGGGAGAAGAGGAGGGGATAGAATAACATGAGGGAGCAGGAAAATTGAGTCAGGGGGATAATAGAAAAGAACAACAACAACAACAAAAGAGATACCATAATAGAGGGAGCCATTATAGGTTTGAAGAGAAATCTGGCACTAGGGAAATGTCCAGAGTCCTACAAGGATGACCCCAGCTAACAATCTAAGCAATAGTGGAGAGGCTACCTTAAATGCCCTTCCCTGATAATGAGGTTGATGACTACCTTATATGCCATCCTAGAGCCTTCATCCAGTAGCTGATAGAAGCAGAAGCAGACACCAACAGCTAAACACTGAGCAGAACTCCTGGAATCCAGTTGCAGAGAGGGAGAAGTGATGAGCAAAGGGGTCAAGACCAGGCTAGAGAAACCCACAGAAACAGCTGACTGGAACAAGGGGGAATTCATGGACCCCAGACTGATAGGTGGGAAACCAGCATAAGACTGACCCAGACACTCTGAACATGGGTCTCAGTTAGGAGGAGTGGGAAGTGTAAGTTACCTCTGACAATGGAACCAGGATGTATCCCTAGTGCAGGAATGGACTTCAGGAGCCCATTCCCCATGAATGGGCTAGAGTCATGGGGGAAGGCCTAGGCCCTACCCCAAATAATCTGAAAGACTTTGATGATCCCTAATGGACACCCTCCCTGGGGAGTGGATGGGGGATGGGATTCTGTGGGGGGCATGGGAGGATGGGAGGGAGAGGGAACTGGAATAGATATGTAAAATAAGAAAAACATTACATAAAAAAATTTTTTAAAAAAGAAGTCTCAAAAAATAAGGTGGGGAGCAAAACCAGATACCCTATATTGACCCCTAGCCTTCACACCCTCCTAGAGCAAAACCCCATGTGTACATAAGTACACACACACACACACACACACACACACACACACACACAGAGAGAGAGAGAGAGAGAGAGAGAGAGAGAGAGATTAGTAAAGTGAAGCAAACATCAAAGGATATTCAGTGCTGTACACACAAACATCCTACAGAAACTCTGGGTCCTTGATGTCCTGAGACTTACTGATGAGTATTGTATTGGTGGTGGCAAACACGACTGTGGGAGACAGTACGAGTGAGTCACTTCCTTAATCTCAGCTGCATGTCAAAATAAATAAATAAATAAATAAATAAAATAAATAAAAAATAGAATGTGAAACATAGACTAGCCTGTAGGCCTGTTAAAGCACTTTGCCATTTAGAGCTATGATGAAGCTTCATTTAGTCTGTTTCTCCCATCCAGTCCCCACATCCACATCTTGTAGAAAAGGTTCTGATCTTTTGTGTGAGCTCTCCTGCGGTCCCTACATGAATGATGATTAGCATTTGTCCCACAAGTCTAGAGATTATTCTCTTTAGTGGCCCTAAACTTCTGCAATTCCCAGGAAATAACTAGTAGATGGGATTTCCTACCAGGCCTGGTTCTTAAAGCTTTGTCTTGCTGCAGTCTATCTGCCTGGGACAAAGAGCTCCCAAATAAGTGGCAGCAAGCCATTATCACAAGGAAAACAAGCGAGGGTGGCTCATGCTATGAAGACAGTCACACTGCAGGACTCACAGTTTATAGTCTAGATACTTAAGTTTCACTTTCACAAATAGGACATTTTGATAGAACTAATCTCAAAACGAGTCCCCACGCTTGCAGGATGTGGTCATGCCTGTCAAGCAAATTCTGTCTGTTCCTAGATCAGTAAAGCGTGACTTGGCACCCCCAGTGACAGCCTGACAAGAAAGCAGTGTGTGTTGTATCAGAGACTACCACTCTGATCTGCAGACACCCGGGGCAATGTGATTCATCACTTACACAGGGTAGCTGTGCAGAATGTCCCATCTTCTGATTGCTGAGTCACTCTGCTTTGTGAGCTTCCAGGAGACACACACTCCACACTCCACTTAAACAATGACAGACATCAGCTCAGATAGCCCTTGCCAACACTATCAGCTTGGATAGCCTGTGCCAGTGCTGCTCTGTTTCCATCCTTTTTGCTCCATATTGTCCCAGTGGCTTCAGACTTTGGGCTCTTTTATTTTTTTCTTGGAGGGAGTCTGTCCAGCTAATACTCAAGGACTTTAGCACCTGAGGTTCCAATTCCTCTCCCAAATTTTCTCATGGCAACGATGTTCTTTTCTGACTTTTTTTTTTTTAAACGTCTCTAACATCAGCAAACATTGTTTGAGCACCCACTGTGGGAGATGCACAGAGGTACAGACCAGAGCTAGTTAGAAGACGAATGAGACAGAGACCTTGCCAGGCATGCTGGCACTTGTTTGTAACTTGAACATTTGGGAGCGATTCCTTGTGCTTAGGAGCTCACAGTCTAGTGAAGAGTACAGTCAACCAACCACAGTACACGATGTTCTGGTTCTGAGACAGGTGAGCACAAAATAATGTCAACAATGCTCTGGACCTGCATCCTGGAGGAGGGGAAGGGAGGAGCCCTACTGCTCACATTGCTCTCTCTGAATGAATGCCCTCTTGGAGAAGTGCAGATTCAGGAGGCATCAGAGGAATACAGGAGATGAGAGTTTTTGAGGGGCTTTTCATATCAAGTGGAGATGTGCATTTCTACTTGTCTGCCAGCCTTTACCTGGTTTGACCTGGGCACTCATTGCCAGTCTGTCCACTGTGAGTGTTACTGCTGCTGGCCCTGCCCGATGCTGATCTTTCTGGCACTCCCTCCCATGTGTCAGATGAGGACTCCTTTCGCGTTCGCTTGCCATTCATAAGCCATGCTGTCCAGCCCAGACAGCTGGCTTTTGCTTTGAAGACTGCCTGGCTTGCTTCCCCACCAGTCTGTTGAGGAGTCCAACATGCCACTTGATGTCACATGGGCCACAGGTGTTGTGGATGGGATTGCTACAGGAGCTGGATGTAAATGATGTCATTGGGCAAGAGGAGACTCTGCATGCCCATGTTGTGTGTCCAAATGCTGTTCCTATCTTCCAGTGAAAAGATGCTGTAAATAAAGAGAATGAGCACAAACTGATCTCAAACACTGAGCATAAGCAAGGAGCTGTTCCAGACATCAGGTAAAAGTATTCATTCTCACAGCAATACCATCCTTGTGATAGAAACCTGTTTTATAGACTAAAGAAATGAAGGCTCGGAGAAACTGACTTATGTAAGGTTTCACAACTCCACAAATCCCTACACACACACACACACACACACACACATACACACACACACCACACACTTTGCACTACTGACGATAGAAGCCAAGACCCTGCATATAAATATACTAAGCATTGAACTACATAAACAGTCACTGATTCTTGTTTATTTTTAATCTGAACACAAACCAATGTGTCCTTTTAACTTTTGGCCTGGCTCACAGCAGGAGCCATGAGATATTAGCACTGTAATAAGATTTCTGATTCCAGCCTGTTTATCAGTTTTCTAGGAGTAAGACAAACACAGGGCATTTAGCCTGGGCCTGTGAAATCATGTTCAGAAACATGCTACCACTCTAAATCAGCTGGCTTGGAAAGAAGCAACAAAGAAATACTAAAGTAAAGGTCATCAGATAGAAATGTAGTTGAATATATGTACAGTCCCAGAACTTTTGATGTTAAACAATAAGACATGCACTTGGAAAAAGATGTGGAGAACTGTGCCTGCTTTATGACTTGTTGATATCTGTGGGGTTTTTCCTTGGGCCTCAGAACAATTTACAACATTGCCAACAGCATTCAGTACATTCAGAACACGATCGTGTCGGCCGGAGCTGACAGAAGGCCACGCTTGGGACAGTACTGAGCGAGGACGGCTGTCCAGCAGACAAGGGGGTAAGCCAGGTTCCGTGAGTGAAAAGCCGAGCTGGGACATTTTAGGTAACATGGTTTATGTAAGTGTGTGATCTAACGGTCCCCCTAGAAGTGGGTCAGATAGGGGCTGGGAGAACCAGGGCCCTTTATGACCCTAGTGACACCTTACGGTAACTTTCCTTCACACCTCTGAGAAGGTGACCCTGTGATGAAATTTCACCAGGGTTCAGTTCAGTCTGCTGGTTGCCCCCCCCCCTTAGTTTTAATATGCTAAACTAAACAGGACCCAACATTTGACAGAGTATGGTAACTTTACATTTGGGACTAGGAAACAAGGAAAAGATCCTTCTCACCCCTCACAGCTGTGATTCAGTTCTGACTCAAAAGGAAGTGTGCCACCTACTGAATCACAGAAACCACTTCCTGTGGCTGTTTGGTTTATTCTGGAGGCACCAGGCCAGAGCCTGCCCTGCCCTGACCCTTGCCTAGCTCTCCAGAGCCAAGGCGTTCACAGCTTGAGGTGGTTTGGCCTGGGACTCTTGAGAACATTGCATATTGAATTACAAGTGTTTCGTTTCCTAGCAAGGAGTCTTTAACAACATAAAAACGAGCATGTGTTATTTGCAAACCTCTGAATCATTACTCAACCTGAATATCCCTAACTTTTTGCAAGGTGTGTATTCTGGTTGACCACTCTCTAGAGATCTGAATGTACAATGGCTTGGCTTTTCCTGCTGGCAGCTTGGGCAGGCTGTAGGGTGGCAGTAGGTCTGTGAGGCTTTACGGGAAGCCTCTAATCAGTGAAGTAACACCGGATTTGTTCTCATTTGTCTCTGTGCTTTGAGAAAGTGCTCAGGAGTTGCCATGTACTCTGCTGATTAGGGGAGGAGATGGAGTGGTGTACAGGACCACATAGTGTACAGATGTTGGATTCCATAATGTCAGCTCCAAATAGACTAAAGAAGGTTTTCATTGTTGTATCTTAGGTGGGTTATGGGGATTCCACAGTGCCTCAGCAAGTACATGGTCTCTCAAGCACAAAAGTTCCAGAAAGGCAGTTCTGCATGTATATCAACACCACAAATCCTGGGAATCACTTCTGAAGGTAAAAAAGGCCTGCCCCTCAGAATGTACCAGAATCCCTGATGGCAGAGGACCAACCACTCTTCTGTCCTTCCTTGCTCCTCCAAGGAGTAAATGAACTACAAACCTATGAGATAGTGAATAATGTGCCCATGTCAGCCAGCCACTCTGAGATTTCAGTAAACAGCATCCAGGACAATATTGGACACCCACCTCTTCTCTGCCTACTTTTATTATCATTGCTGCTTCCCATCTTCACCTCTGACTTGGGTTGTACGTGATATGGCCAGCCATTTCCTCAAGGTCTGACTGATAACCTTACGCTTAATGATGGGATTCTGAGACTACACTGTCTTACCCTGTGTAAACTCATGCGTTTCTTTGGAAAATTCATAAAATTATCATAAGCTGAAATGCCCCATCAAAAGGATACTAAGTTCCATACAAAGTGATAAACGATTAAATATATGGAGTAATATTTCTCCAAATGTGAAATATAACAGTCAGCTTGTCAAAAGTATATGTGACCTGCATCAGATCAGTCTTTCTTTGCCCCAAGGCTGCTGTTCACACATCTGACGTGAAGGAGAGGACCTAACCCTCTGTCTTCTCAGGCCATTTTAATACTGACACACTCTTCTCCTCACCTGCCAGTCATATCATCTAACCCAACAGCAAACAAAGACCACACTTAAATTGTGCTTTCAAAATCCGGGCATTCTAAGCACTGTTTATTAAGTATTCTTGGCAAGAACACAGAAAGATAAATTGGTTTGCAATAATGTTAGAAGCCTTAGCACACTGAAACTTTCATCTGCATGTGCCATTTTGTTTCATGAATCACCCCAAGTATCTGTATCTAGTATATAACCCCTGACCTATATTAAGTATTAATAACTATTTTATTAATGAACCTCTCCAAATAACAAGAAACCATTAGATTATTCTATTTTCTATGCTTTTGTTTTAGACAGTTTTTATGAAATAGTCACACATATATCATCCAGAAAGAATATAAATTTCTGTCATCAATTTTTTAAAGAAGGTTTCATATAGCTCAGGCTAGCCTTAAACTCACTATATAGCTGAAGTTAGCCACTAAGATTACATGCATGTCTCGGCACACCTTGTTTTCATGCATGTGTCAGAAAACCTGGTTTACATACATGGGGCAGCACACCTGGTTTACATGTATGTGGCGACACAGCTGGTTTAAAAATGGTACCCAAGATGAAACCTAGAGTTTTGTCCCTGCTGGACACGCACTCTACCTACTAAACTATATCTCCAGCCCCAAAATGCTTTATTATGTTACTTTTGGTTGGATGTCACAGAGAATTATATTGAACTCTTGACCAGCCTATTTTTTCCATTGGAATATTGGCTCAGATAAGAAATAACATCAAGGAAAAATTACTCTTTGGCAGGAAAAATGTCCTCTCTAAATTCTTGTGTGTTTTGTTTTGATTTTTCCTTAGTGACTGGAGGCCAGTTTCAATCCATGCCGGCACAGATTCCAAACTTTCAATCTGGTTTTCCTGAATACTGACTGGGTGCCAAGAATGAGACAACGAGACAAATCACCACCAACACATTCAAATTCATATATACATACGCATGCACACATAAACACACACACACACACACAGAGAGAGATACACATACAGAGAGAAAAACACACATGAAAACACACAGACACACAGAGGTATACACACAAACACATGCACACACATACACACACACACACACAAACACACACACACAGATACACATACAGAGAGAAAAACACACATGAAAACACACAGACACACAGAGGTATACACACACACACACATACACAGACAGACACATGCACACACAGATACACACACACACACACACACACACACACACACACACAGATATCCACACAGAGAAACACACACAAAAAGACAGAAAACATACACAGAGAACCATACATATACATACAGATACAGAAAGACAACAGAGATACACACAGATGCACACAGAGACACAGGTATATACAGACACACTACCAAAGATCCATAGATACATATAGATATAAACAGCCATAGAGACAGATACGGATACACAGATATACAGATACACAGAGAGAGAGAGAAAGAGAGAGAGAGATACCCAAATACGCATACAGAGATACACACACACACAAGTACATACTCAGATACATATGTGCACACCCAAGCATGAGCAATACCTGAGTCCCAGGTGTATCTACTGATTTGCATGTTTCTATTCCTTCTAACATTTACCCTCAAAATTGTGGAGTTTTAAACTTTCAAGTGGAACCATTCTTTACATCCCTAGATGACATTCATACATTGTTCTCTGTGTGCTAGACCCTATCAAAAACACCATCTTGAAACTATTCATTGAAGACAACTGAAGATGGAGGTTTCTGTCCCTCCTGGTCCACAGCCGCTTTGCCCCAAATAAACACACGAAGACTTACATTGAGTATATAATGTTTGGCCGATGGCTCAGGCTTCTTATTGGCTAGCTCTGTATTAATGATTAACCCATTTCTATTAATCTATGTATTGCCATGAGGCTATGGCTTACCTATAATCTGGCATGTTACTCTTTTGGGAGCATGGCATCTCTCTCTGCCTCTCTCTGCCTTTCTATCCCCAACATTCTCCTTTTCTGGTAGCCCCAGGTATGCTTCCTGCCTGGCTATTGGCCAATCAGTGTTTTATTCATCAACCAATAAGAGAAACTTATATACAGAAGGACACCCCCCTTCAGACAACCAGCATCTGTTTTGCTCACTTTTTCTTTTTGAGTCAGGGTCACACTCTCAAGTCCAGGCTAGTCACTACATCACATAGGCTGGCCTCAAACTCACAGCAATCCTCCTCCTGTGTTATCTTCCTAGATGTCAGGGTTATAGGCACAAGCTACTAAGTCCTACTCTCTATTTTCCTTTCATCAACACTTTGAAAATTTTAATGTTTGGGAAAAAGCAATCACATTTATTAAAGAAACAATGATTTTGTATTGAACTAGAGAATAAAAAAGAAAGTAAATATTTTTTGGCAATCTGAAGAGAATCATAAGTTTAGTGCAGAGGGTAGCAGTGCCCTGAAGGAAAGGGTTTTGCTTGACAGTCAAATAAACAGACATCCATAGCTAGTAACTTGACCACCAAGGTTGCATGAAGCCCGGCTCTGCAGTGAGACTTTGGGAGGTTTGCATCATCTGAGATCTGTTTCTTCAGCTAAGGACTCTCACCTTCTGAATGTTTGTTACTTTGCTTCCTAAAGGTTAACCCATTCTGTTTTCCATAATTCCCTACATCCCAAGACAGTGACAACCAAGTCCCCCTCATTAACAGTGCTACTCACCTTGTGTGGTTTCTCTTACCCTGCTTGGGGGAAGGCACATTCAGTCAGACACTAACTGGCATTTAAGGTTATTTGTGCTCTTGGTAAAGAAGGGAGAACGTCTGAATAGACTGACCTAATTACTCATCACCGAATGTTTGTTATGTGGGCCTAGTAACTTTTCTGATACTAGTTGATATTTGGAGCATTAGGTGCAAAAGCCTGTATGAATGAGCGTGCATGCATGCGTGCATGTGCGTATGCATGTGTGTGTGTATATTCATGGATATGCATACATGTGTGTGTATATGTGAAGGTCAGAGGTCAACCTCAGACATTGCTCCTCTGGAACCATCTATCTCGTTTTCTCAGTTGGGATCTCTGGGGCTCCATGGTCAGGCTAGGCAAGGGATGCCCCTGTCTCTGCCTCCCAGCTCTGGGCAAAAGTACAGCCTTTTATGTAGATGTTGTACTTCAAACTTAGCACCTCATTCTTGTACAACACTTACTTTACTGAGTTGTCTCTCCAGCCCTATCAAAAAGAAATGTCATTTTATCAACTTTTACTGCTCCTCTCCTGCTGAAGAAGCAGATTTCTTTTTATTATTTTATTTTATTATTATTTTTACATACTAATCCCAGTTATCCCTCTCTCCTTCCCTCCTGCTCGCCCCACCTTCCCCTACCCACTCCCCTTTACTCCTCATCAAGGGTAAGGCTGCCATGAGGAGTCAACAAAGTTTGTTCCAAGGGGACCAAGGCCCCCCCGCCAGGCTGAGCAAGGTATCTCTCCATAGGAAATGGGTTCCAAAAAGCCAGTTCATGCTCTAGGGATAGCTCCTGGTCCTACTGGCAGTGGCCCTACAAACTGCCCAAGTCACCCACTGTCACCTGCATTCAGAGGGCCTAGTTCAGTCCTATGCAGGTTCCCCAGCAGTCAGTCCAGAATCAGTGAGCTTGGATCAGCTGTTCCTGGGAGTTTCCCTATCATGGTCTTGATCTCTTTGCTTGTTTTATCACTCCTTCCTCTCTTCATCTGGATTCCAAGAGTTTGGCCCAGTGCTTAGCCATGGACCTCTGCATCTGCTTCCATCAGTTACTGGATGAAGGTTCTACGATGATAATTAAGGTAGTCATCAATCTGATTACAGGGAAAGACCAGTACAGGCACCCTCTGCACTATTGCTTTAAGTTTTATCTGGGATCACGCTTGCGAATTCCTGGGAATTTCCCTAGTGCCAGGTTTCTCGATAATCCCATAATGGTTCTCTCTACAAAGACAATTCTTTTTTTGCTCTCCCCCTCTGTCTGAAGGAACAGATTTTAAAGTGGAAATCATGAAGGATTTTTCTTCAAATGCTACTGCCCAAGTTTCTACTTGTTAGAAAAGCAGAATTCGGTCAGGCATGGTGCCTTGTGCCTACAAGCCTAGTGCTTATGAGGCTGAGACACGGGAATCCTGGATCAGTTCAAGGCAATTTCTCCTATGTACTGAGTTCCAGGACAGCCTGGGCTATGTCTGGAGTCCCTGCCCAACAAAATAAAGCAGAACACAAATGCTTATTTCTATCCCAGTCCTCTCAAATCAGAACCTCTGGGAGTGAAGAGTTCAGCAGCCACCAGTCCAGCATACTGATGACAAAGACAATTTGTTGGTATTTTTGAAGAAACAAGTCCGTTGACTTCCTTTTCCATATTGGCTTCCATCTCCAGGAGTTCACATCCAGGAAAAGGGCAGAAAGGAACACAACATTTTTCTTGGTTTTTTTTTTTTTTTTTTTTTTTTTTAATTCAGAACCATACCAAAGGATACATGCTCTAATATGATACAGACCAATAGTGATGGTTCTTTGATAACATACAAGGGCTTGAATTTATTTCCAACAAGACTAATCTGAAGGTGCCTTATAGATTAGATAGGAAATGGAATGGGGAACATTTATCGACTACAAAACGTCCCAGAAAACCTTGGGAGTGCCTATACCAATGTTACCTTGAGGCATGTCTTTAATAACTGAAAGGCCTAATAGCATTTCAGAAGATGATACTACATGAAGACTTCATTTCTGATGCTGTGAATGCTGGCTGGCCCTCAATATATCCCCCTTTTCCCCCACTCTTCTCCCTCCCCTCCACTTCTGAATCCCTCCCTCCTCTTCCTCTACTTCCCCTTTCTCTTGTTCCTCCTTCTACTTACCTTACTTACCTTGTACCTTGTTTTTTTATTATTATTATTATTTAAAAAAAAGGAAAAAGAAAAGACTTGGACAAAATGGCTTGTTCTATACCATAGAAAATAAGAGGAAGCCAGCACAACTGTAGATTCCACAGAGGAGTGTGACACACCCTGGTCAAGAAACACTGGGTTAAAGAAACCTGTGGCTTGAAACTTCAGGCTAAAGAATGTTTGCTAACATATTGAAGAAATGTGTACATATTATTAAAACCTACAAATCTATTCCTGCTTTTGTTTTTTCTTTGTCAGTATCTCCAAAAGAACTGAGCACCTATTAGTCACAGGGAAACATCTGTAAGATGTAGCAACTGGTGTCACCTTCCCTGTGTGGATCACAAGGTTCTTGGCAATCGCTTCCATACCAGACCAATGAGTATTGTTTTTCTTCTTTCCAGATGGATAAAGAGAAGCAAGCTGGAGATAAAGGCCTGCTTCAGCACCACACATTTCAGTCACCCATGACAAACAATGGCTGCCAGTCTTCTCACCCTTCAGCAACAAAGAGCTTTGAAGCTTTTTGCTGTCAACAAGCGTTCTGGAAAGAGTACACTGTCTGAAAGGCACAAATGATCCACCCTCTACACCATGGACTCTTCTTCCAAAGGCAACCAAATCAAGACATCATGAAATGTATCTGTACTGAATTTGTGCAGACATTTACCCTCATTATTATGCTCCAAACAGTATGCAGTGATAACTGTTCCATACGATTAAACAGGAGCAAGAGGGAAGATGTGCCCATAGGCCCTGCAAGTACCGTGGTACCAAGGCTCTGAGTGTCCACCACGGTACTTGCAGGCTCAGTCTTTTAAAAGCTGCTGAAGGGGATAGCCTTGTGACTGTTTTCCTCTGGAGACAGGGTTTCTCCGTGTAGCCCTGCCTGTCCTGACTCACTCTATAGCCTCAAACTCGGAAAACTCGGAGACCCACCTGCCTCCCGGTGCTAAAGGCTTTCCCCACCACCTCCTGGCTTTTGCAGTAACCTTTTTACAATGCTGTTTTCCCTGCTGCTTCCTGACATAGTAGAAAGTGAAATAAGACACATGGTTTTCATGACAGCGGAAGTTGTCAGTCCTGCCTCTCCATGCTGTTTAGGGTGGAGTGGAACAACATACTGAGAGCCAGTGGCTCCAGCCCCTAGATGATCGTTGGGAGGCAGTCCTTTTAATGCTGGTTCCCACTGAGTGATGCACTCAGATGTGAGGAAATCTTCTAGGCCAACAGTGGGAGGGAAGTGTTGAGGCAGGGTGGAGTGATGCAATATTTCTTAGTGTTAGGGAGGTTTTGCAATTTGTTTTTCAGTCTGCTTGGACATCCAAAAAGGAAGACTCATGTGTCAACAAGCACACGAAGTGAAGCTTAAAGTCCTAGGAACTGAGAGGCAGGGTTTAAATGTGAGTTTACATTGGTGTTCATTTCCCTTGATGAGAAGTTGGCTAGAACTGAGGATCAGTCTTGAGAAATGCAAATTTTTCTCTGACAGGTTTACTGGCTGGCTTCATCCAAACGCTTAAGCACAAAGGATGTCTAATCTAATAAGAAAACTTTCTGTTTTCTCCCCAGTCAAATAAGGAACAAGGGAAGGGAAGTTCAGATGTCCTCACTCGGCAGTGTTCGTCATGTATGTGGTCAGTGCACATAGGGGCATGGCCCCGCCCGAAAGCAAGAACGTTCCAGAATTGAAGTATGAGCTGCACAGATTGGAGAGCTGAAAAAGCAAACTCACTCACCCCTTACAGTCCAACCATAACTTAAACTTGTGCACTTCTGTTGTGAAATGCTCAATATAATTACCAGTAAGAAAAACAGAAAACAACCCCAAACCAAACAGATTCCCATGCCTTTGTTACCTACCAGCCACCTGTGAACATCTCCGCTGGTGCTTATGTTATGTTATTCCGCTCCTTGTTTACAGATGTCTGTTTCCACCTCTACTCAGACAGAATAGGGCTGACGTTCCATCTATACCAGGCAAGTTAAAGAAGAAGAAGACAAAGATCTGAAATGGCACTGAGAATAGGGTCAGCAACTTGGCTCAGCGGGTGAAGGGGCTTGCCCTTCAAGCCTGATGATCAGTTTACACTCACTAGACCCTACATGGTGCAAGGAGAGGACTGTCCCCTGCCAATTGTCCTCTGATCTCAAACACATTTTGATATGTACATGCCAACTATACAGATGTAAAAGAAGTTATTTTTAAAGATTTTATTTTAATCATTTGTATGTACCTACCTATGTGTGTATTGGAGAATATTCCATACACTGCAGGTTTTCTCAGAGACCAGAGGGGTCAGATTTTCTGCAGTGGGAGTTCCAGGTGGGTGTGAGCTCCCTGTATAGCTGCTGGGACTGAAACTTGAGTTCTGCGGAAGAGTAATACATGTTCTTACTAAGAGCCATCTATCTAGCTCCCTGGTTTATTTTTGTTTTTTAAGTTTCTAATGCTTAAAGATTTGAATAATAAAACATACCTGCCTGGGAACACCAGCTTTAGAGGCGAGTCATTTCAACAAACTGCATGCTTGGCTTGGCATCAGGTGATTGGACTTTGTTTCTTTGGGTGCCATGTTTGGTGATAAACATTTATCATCCCATCACTTGGGAGGCAGAGGCAGGAGGGTCGGACTTTTAGGCCAGCCTGGGCTTCAGAGTGAGACCCTGCTAAAGAAATAGAATTTGTGTTTGTTGCATTTATTTGATAAACTTTAGAGGGTGTCTCAGTTAGGGTTTCTATTGCTGTGAAGAAACACCACAACAACAGCAACTCTTGTAAGGAAAAATATTTTTACAGTTTCAGAGGTTTAGTCCATTATTATCATGGAGGGACAGCGCAGCATGCAGGCAGACATGGTGCTGGAGAAGGAGCTGAGAGTTAATACATCTTGATCATTAGGCAACAGGAAGTGAACTGTGTTACTGGGCATAGCTTGAGCATAAGACCTGAAAGCCCACACCTACAGTGATACACTTCTTCCAACAAGGCCACACCTCCTAACAGTGCCACTCCCTCTGGGGGCCATTTGCTTTCAAACCACTAAGGAGGGCTAATTTTTCTTTGGTTCCTGAGTTTTTAATATCACTTTATCGCTACTTTGGGGGATAAGGATTTGAACTCCTCATCCTTCCTCTGCCTGAGTAGTGGGACTACAGACAAGCATGTGCCATTCTGTCAGTGAGAACAGTTGTTTGGGAGCTTGCTTGTGACTGCTGGAGACTGCATCCAGGGCCTGTGCATCACAGGGAAGTCCATCCTCATTATTTAAAACATGAGACTAAGAGGTATGTATTCATTTCTTTCTATTTTTTCCTACCTCTTATGTGTATGTGTGGTATGTGCATAAGTGTGGGTGCACTCATGAACATCAGAGGATGACTTTTGGCACTTGGCACTCTTTCCACTATGGGTTGGGGTGAGCAAATTCAGTGCTTGCTCAGGCAGTACTGACTCTGTTTACCGTTGTTTTGTATGTGTACATGGGGGTGTATATGTATGTGTCCATGTGCCTGTGGAGGTCAGAGGTGCCTGCCACTTCCTTGGTCACCCTTCACCTTATACATGGAGAGAGAGTCTCCCACTTGAGCCCAGAGCTAGTCTAACTAACCAAATTACAAGCAATAGGCTTCCACTCCTACTTCTACACATGGATTCAAAGGACCCAACTCCAGTCATCAAGCTACTTTACTTGAGAGACCCCAATATGTAGTTGAGGTGATTTTGAATTTCTGACCCTCCAACTTTTACCTTCCAACTGTTAGGATTATAGGTCAACACCAGGTCTTTGTGCATGCTAGGCAAGGGCTCTAGGAACTGAGACTCATCAGCATGTTTTTAAATGTAAAGTGACAATATGAGATTATATGGAAATAAAAATGCAAATTTAGGGTTTTATTGTCAGTTCCTGAAGCAAGCCTCTGAGATAATCTACATACTTTCACTATGTGTTTTGTCAATGTCCTTAGATTTACTATGTGTTTTCCTGTACTACATAGTGTTAATGGGAACCATAAACATGTTTATTTACTTTAAGTCACAACCCATTCTGCATAGATTAAGAATCATTCACATCATTTTAAAGCCAATGCACTTGGCAATTCTATGCAGAAAAAGAACATGATGATACTAGAATTGTGGTAATGATACAATGAATTTCATGTCAATAGAATTTCCGTGAAGATTTAAGCTTGTTAGAGTAGATCCAGAACTAAAAATAAAACTCCACCTCCTCTAAATCTCCTCTAGTTTCCAAGGCCACTATTTTTAAGTGAATATTACATGTATTTCTTCTATTTCACCTATAGCAGACTAGTCTAAATGATAATGTATTTTGCAAAGTATAAAAGTCATTACCGAGTACAAATTTAGGCAAAAGAAGAAATCTATTGGGATGAGTGACATGTTAGCAAGGTCTACATTGTAGAAGTTCAGTCTTTGGTGTATCTTCTGGATCCAGGAGTAGGAGGCAGTGGTCTATCGAGCCAGAAGCTGCCTGGCAGCATTGACATCCTGGCTGTTGCTTCAGATAGGTTGCATTTTTTGGCTTTCACTCTGAACCAAAAGTTCAAGTGTGAAAACCAGGACTGAAGCCTCTCCTTTGCAGGAGCCAGGATGCCCCCAGTTCAGCCAGGAGTTAGTTAGAGGGTGGAGTGACCCAGCACTCCAGGAGTGGCACATGTCAGCGGGAAAGGTGCCAGGGCAGTGTCCCAACCACAGAACTGGGCTTGCCACAAAGCCTTCCCTTCATTAATATGCCAGATTTCTGGCCAGCTGGGCAGAGGTAGGATTAAGATGTGATTTTCATGCTGCTGAGTCTGTTGGGTCAACTTTGGGAAGGACGCCCCGGCCAAGAGTCAGGGAGAAGCTGGAGAGTGCAAGTACCTGATGCATTTCCTGCCCCTTTCTTTCATTTTCTCTCTCTACACCTCTACACTCTACTCTTTTTTTCCTTCATTTCTTGCTTCCTTCCTTTTTTCTTTTTTTTTTTTTTTTTTGTAAGACTTGCAAAGGTATCACAAAGACCCTTCGTTTGTTTTTTTTTTTTTTTTTTTTTTTTTTTTTTTGTTTCCTGCAGAACCAAATACTGTAGCAGGATTTCCCACAACTTGCCTCAGATGGAAGCGAAGACCTCCAGCCTACCTTCCAGCATGATCTGTCCTCTGGCAATACTGGCATTTGATGTTCTGTTTACTGTCACAGTGCTTTTAGAAATCACAAGAGGGTTGTGCTTGGGGTTCAGCTCTTCTACTGTGTACCAACAGAACAGGCTGAAATAGGATGGAGTCACTCACACTGAAGTGCGGTGTCACCAAACTGCAAAGAATCCATTTATCTGACCTTCTGAGAAATCAGACGTAGAAAGAAAACAGAAATTTCTTAGCTAGGTAATTTCCAGTTGCCTTGATAATTAAGCTAATTCTTGCACAAATGAAGTGATTTGAAGCAATTAGGGAAAGTGACTTCAAATGACCCAATTGCTTTTTTGCCTTTTTCCCCCACTTTTGGACAGGGTTTTGCCCATAAGGAGTCTGTGTCCTGGGTGCTAGGATTGTAACATGTACACCCTTGCCCAGCCTGCTCTTTCTTCTTTGGCTTTTGGTTCTCTTAGCTCTTCGCT